GACTTTCTGTCTCCCACTTCACAGTTTTGCCTAAGGCATTCCCTATTCATTCAGCCCTCTTGTATCCATGGGTTCCCACCATGGATCAAAAATATTCAGAAAAGTAAAAATCCATAAAGTTCCAAAAAGCAAAACTTGTACACTGAGTACTACATTAAATCCACGTAAATGAAGTGACATGTAGGCATTGTATTAGGAATAATAAGTAATCTAGAGATGACTTAAAGTATATGAGAGGATGTACATAGGATTTATGCGGATACTACGCCATTTTATATAGGGACTTGAGCACCCACAGATTTTCCTATCTGCCAGAGGGTCCTGGAACCAATCCCGCATGGATACCGAGGGACGACTATAGTTCATTTACCATTACATCTTCCCTAACTTATGTCTCAAGAATCCTTTCTTAAGTAGCTTTTGAATAAAATGAAGTAACTATAGTGTTCAATTATTTTAACATCTTTAAAACTAAAATATTTATTAAAGACATTGAAAAAATGGATATTATAAAAAGCAGGGCTTTGGGTGATTTGAAAAAAGTGGGTGTTTTGGGTTTGGTGTTTTTTTTTTTGCCTTTTGGTTAATTTTCTGGGTTTAAAATGGTTTCTATTGAAGTTGCAAGATAAACTGGTTTCTCCTTTTGGTCCAAATAAATAGAGCAAACAAAAAATCTGAACTAACTGCTTTCAACATAAGTTTCAGCATTCAGCTCACTGACACTACTATGGGTAACATGAATGTCACTGCAGTGCTGCTTTTGAGTTATAGGCTTTGAGATCCTTACAGCCGAGTGAGGGCTGAATATGTTTTGGGATTGTGCTGGACCTCTTCAGAATTATGATACATTGTAGTCAAAACAACATCTATTGGTTTTATTTACATTGTTGCTACTAACTTTTCCTACACAGTGCATTTTACCCAGTTAACTATGATTAGAATAATTATCAACAAAAGAATGATTCTTTTATCTTTATCTTTGAATATCTTTTTATTGTTGATATTACAATGCTTTATAGTAGTGGATATTTCTAACTCATTTATACTTTATTTATGACTCATTAACTCATTTATACCTCAATCCTGTCATTTATTTTAGGTAGTAATTATCACTGTAGGAAAGAACACTATTAACCTTACTCCTATAAGTATTGCCAGTAAGTCAGTCAGTATCTCTGTCTCTGTCTCTTTATTTATTTGTTTGTTTTTTAATTTTTATTTTTAAAATTTTTATTGAATCATAATTGATTATATATATTTTGGGGGTTCATTGTTGACATATGTTGATCAAATCAATATTATTAGTATGTATATTGTTACAAATTGT